TTGACATTACAAAATGTCTCAGTTGTAAATACCTGAAGAACTGTGACTTATGGATGTCAGATTTCTGTACTAACTGTTTAAATGAGGCGAACTTATTGTTTATATAAAGATCATTCAGAGAAGTTATTCCCTTTAAACTCCAAGTATTGAAAACAGAGTCCATTAGTGAAGGAGCAAACATGGTTATTTGATACTGGAGCAGACAATAATAATTCTGTACTTTTAAGCGACTTCCTGCACTGATTCCAAATTTTTATTGTGTGAGTTACAACCGGATTAGCAGTTTAAGTTGAGATAGGTTGATTAAATGGTAACCGGGAGCAAAGTAAAGAAAAGAGAGAGCTCGCCGTGACTGATTTCCTCTCTAGATTTACCCAAGTAGGAACAGGATTGTCCTCTCTCAACCAGTACAGTAAGGCTCTAATGTTGGCCGCCCAGTAATAATATAAAAAGTTGGGGAGTGACAAGCCACCAAGACCATGGGGTAACTGTAGCATCTTACTGCCTATCCGTGGATGTTTTTCATTCCAAATAAAGGACGACAATTCACTGTTTAAATTTGTAAAGAAAGTCCTGGTGAGGAACACTGGCATGCTCTGAAATAGATAAAGTAATTTGGGCAATATTGTCATTTTGATCACGTTGATTCTACCCCCCAAGGATAGAGGCAGGGATGCCCATGTAGCGATGTCCTTCTTAAGGTTCACCAGGAGAGGCAGAAAGTTTGCTGTATAATCTTTGTGACTGTGAGTAATCCAAATACCAAGGTATTTAAATTTGGCAGAGCTAATTTTGAAAGGAACTGGACACATATGCTGCTCTTCTATTGGGGTCACAGGCATCAATTCACTTTTTTGAAGGTTAACCTTTTAACCAGATGTTTCCAAACTTTTGAAGTAAAAGAAGTGACTCAGGAACACTAGACAAGGGATCTGAGATATAAAGAAGAGTATCATCTGCATATAAGGAAACTTTACATTCAGTGCCAAACCGATTAATACCTTTAATCTTAGGGTTGTTCCGTAAAGCCTCTGCGAGTGGTTCAATCGCGATTGCGAATAAGAGTGGCGAGAGTGAGCACCCCTGCCTCATACCATGTTCCAATTCAAAATAGCTGGATAGATTACTGTTAGTGCGTACTGCTGCCATTGGCAAGGTATATATCAGCTTCACCCATGAAACAAATTTAGGACCGAAATTAAACATCTCCAAGGTCTTAAAAAGATAGTTCCACTCCACCCGGTCAAACGCTTTCACTATTAAGTTTTGTTTAAATAACTTTATTTTTAAAAACTGCTGTATACTACATACTGTATATGCACAAATGAAAATTATTACTACTTTCTCATTATTGTGTCAGGCTGCCATTCAGCCTTACATACTGTATATAGTACAGTAGTTATGTAGTGTAGTGTATAGTGTGGGTGTGTGTGTGCGTGTGTATGTATAATGATCCTGCATCATTTTACTTTGTTATGAAGCTGTCTGTCTTTCGTTTCCATAAGCACAATTTACTCATGACCACCTGCAGAGCATGTTCGCACAGCCACTCAGCATGTGGCGCTTCTCTGTTCAAAGTTTCTTCTAAGCTCTGTGCTTGTTTGGATTTTTTTTTTTTTTACGTTTTATTTATTTTTTTAAGAAAGGAGAGAAATTGATTTCGACTCAGCTGTTTCTAACTGGACTGGAAAAATGTTTCCCCTGACATCATTCACAAATAAGCTTCGTGTTCACATATGTTCACATATGCATATAAATTATTTGATTTTGGATTGAAAGTGGATGTAACTACCAGTGTTAGGGTTGGTGTGAGAAGGTGTTTGTCTAATAAAAAATATGTCATAAAATAGAGAATAGATTCAATTGAAACTTCCAAAAAGTAATGATTAAATACACATCTACAACTGATTATTAGCTTGATTCAAAGTGGTTGCCACAGCTAATCAACTCTATAACTGAGTCAGTTCTGCAAATACTGAGCTAAATGTGGTGTAGTTGAGAGTCATCCACAACACATACTCAGAGCACTAACAGATCACATGAGATCTTTATCAAAAACCTGGCATGTATTTCCACAAATGATGGGAATTTCTTCTAGAAATGTTACTTTTATTTACTAGCGTCACTTATTGAAGAAGTTCAGCTCTGCTTCTTATTAGCTCTTATAAAGTATGTCTTGATAAACAATGCCATTTTAATTTCTTATTACACCTAAAAAAACATAGTTGATGAGGTAAACTATCTATAGATTAATGGATGTTTTATATGTTTTATCCTCAGTGTTGTATAAAGTTCCACAAAGTGATACTTAAGTAAAAGTACAAGTATCTTACCAAAAAATTACTTTGGTAAAAGTTAAAGTCTCCTTTAGGAATATTACTTGAGTAAAAGTCTTAAAGTATCTGATATTTTTTGTACTTAAGTATTAAAAGTTAAAGTATTGATTTAAAATGAGCAGTTAGATTTTCTGTAATGACATTTATTAGGAGGTGACCTCCTCAAAACAATGTATAAATGACTGTTATATTAAAATAACTAATTTATGTTAAATTTAGGATGCACTGTTGCACTGATGATAGCTGTTTCAGTTTATATACATATATCAAGGCTGCCCAAACCTTTTCCCCGAAATGAAAATCTATCCGAGGGCTGCGGCCAAATGCAATAAAATAATTCATGAAATACAAATACTTTTTTCAGTACAGTCCTTTTATTTTAATGATTATGTCCTGCTGGAGTGTGATATGATTTGTTTGTGTACAAACTAATATGTTATCAGAATTTTATATATTTATACTTCTCATTCAACCACAATTAAATTTACTCTATCTAGGAGGCACAATTTACATGGACAGTATTTATTTTTTACAATAAGCTGAAAAGAAAACAAGCAAAAAAGAAATAAAGGTAACGACTTTCTACTTCATGCCTTTTTTAAAAATGTAAGTAGTAGAAAGTACAGATAATTATGTGAAAATGTAAGAAAGAGAATAATTACTCAAGTAAAGTACAGATACCCAAAAATTCTACTTAAGTACAATAGCAAAGTATTTGTATTTAGTTACTTTACAACTCTGTTTATCCTTTACAATATTGTTGCTTTGATAAGCCATTTAACCATAGGCTTTATTTTCATGATATTCTCCTAAAATACTTCAAAGTTATCAAAAATAAATAATTCACATGGATGTATTCTACTGAGGCTCCCCGGAGTGTTGTGATGTAGGTGTTGAACCACAACAACAAAGGTATACCCATTTCATTATGAATTCAAGTTTAGTATGCATCAGATCTAAACAGTGAGTTGAATCAAGACGTGTTTGTTCATGTGGGCTTTTATTTCAGCACATTTACACAGCATTTAAATGTTTTTATCACTGCTGATCCCATTTTGAAAAAAACATTGGGTGCACATAAATAACTGCTGTCCTAAATTGTATAGAACTTCGTTTTAAGCCTGAAATTTCTATAATATCACTGCAATTTACTTTTCAGTGTGGTCTGAAGGGATTGCATGATATCTGTCGATTTGATTTTTGCCTTTCTTATGCAAATGATAAGACAATGAGAGAGGTCGTGCTCCCTCATGGAAATCAGCCTGAACACCCACAAACCCAGGCGCAAACACTCCTGCATGGCTTCAATTATTCCCTTCAGCAGTGGCAGCAGAGGTAATTTTGGCCCCCTGGTCGCAGGCACATGACAAACAGATGAGCTGCCGTAAAGAGCGGACGTCTTTGTGTTCTACAGTACGTAACGGTAAAAGAATAAAAGGGAGCTGAAAAGCAATTTGATAGGCCAGAGTGGATAAGTGGGCACCACATCTCGAGGCTCAGGAATATGTTTATCTGCCTCAGCATGGCAGGCTTTGAGGCACGGTGCACGCCTGTGTGTCAGATTAATTACAAGCAAGCTCAGGTCGGTGTTGTTGTTCCATGACTGTTGATCATTTTTGTCTACCTTAACTGGAACATTCGGACAATTTGAAAGGAATGTGAAAAGGCACGAGTGTGATGCAACACCAGCTGTTTCAGTTTTCTGTTGCTCGTTTTTCTTCTGTCCTGAAATTGGCTGTTTTTGTGTCGGAACACAGATGGTTGTGGGATTTGTTGTAATTTTGTGTTTACGTCAAATAAATCCTCCTTACAGAGCTGTGTTTGTGTTCAGGATGCAGGACCTTAAGGACTTAGGGGAGCTGTCTCCACACTGGGACAACTTAAGGAAGGAGGTGATGACACAATATGGAGGAATCATCAGCTCTTATGAGGAGACTTTGGCTGAACTGGACAAGGTTACAGGTATGAGGATTAGCCGTTGTTTTCTTATTATTATTATTATTGTTATTATTATTATTATATTATTATTATTATTATTATTATTATTATTTTAGCATTAATAATGTATTCAAACACTTATTCTGACAAATACACACTCTAAAAAATGAAGTGTTGGATTTATTTTACCAAGTTGTGCCAGAGTAAACTGGTTTCCTTAAACTGAGTTGAGTAAATGTAAAGCAATTTAATAATTTTCTTTCAAATAAATTCAGCACTTCATTGTTTTTAGCGTGTACACCAAGGACTTTTATTTCAAAATCACAAAACTTGCTTAGAGTGTTCAATACTTTTTCCTCAGTTATTAACTATGATGATGATTATTAACTATGATGATGATGATGATGATGATGATGATGATGATGATGATGATGATGATGATGATGACGTTAGGATACCAAATGTTACTTCATACTTTCTCAATAAACCTACGTAGTTTTGTGAAGCAACACTTAAGACAATAGTGATTTTGCCTGAGTGTCTGCAGGGGAGCTTGGGTTTTTGTGTGTTAACAAAATATCTGATGAAGCAATTTTATTAAAACTATGACAGTAATGACATAACCCCAAAAAAATTGGTTGCATTTGAGTATTCTACGCAACCGACGGTATCCCAGAATTCAATGCGCCGTCAGCAAATTAAACAGAAAAACATATTTTTTATGGCGGTGTTTTTGTGTGTGTGTGTGTGTGTGTGTGTGTGTGTGTGTGTGTGTGTGTGTGTGTGTGTGTGTGTGTGTGTGTGTGTGTTTGTTTGTTTGTTTGTTTGTTTTTTGTTTGTTTGTTTTTTGTTTGTTTGTTTTTTACAGCGGAGTTTGAAAATTTGTCACAGACTGAAAAATGTAACTTTCCTCAGCAACTTAGCATTGGAAAGTTTCGTTGCAATTAGATGTTAAATAAAATGCAGTTGAAAGTACACTTACTGGAACTAAACTCAAATTATTAATGCTTTTTATCTATTTATTTGTAACATTGTTTTTTTCTATTAAAACTGAAAGTTATCCCTTGAAAAACAACTGAAGCAATGTGATTTAAAATATATCACCATGGTAATGAGGCAGCGTGTGGTCACACACACATACAACTTCTGTGGAGTAGACTGTCATTTCATAGCCATTTATGCAGCCGACCTGAGCAGACTATGGCCCATGTAGACTGTGGCCAACATCGACATCAATCTATGTCGATTACAACCCATGAATTGAGACACAACCACAATCAACCATTGTGAACAATGGAAAGTCACTAAAAGAGAGGATTTCAACTTCCTCTATAGATTTATTGGCTTAAAGCATCCAATCTGTTGTTCTGTTGTTGTTTTTATAGCTCGACAAAAGGATTTGAAGCAGAAATGATGAACTGACTATTGTTCCTCTATGCATAAGAAACATTGGGATCAGTTTGTCAGTATTTATCCTGTGATGTGCCAAAGGAGTAAGAAACCACCATGTCCAACATGTCAACTAAAGGATATGAATTTGATGTGATGCAGAAAAGGTTCAACATATCCCTGAGTGTGTTCGATTAGGACCAAATGTGATTTAAAACAAGATAAACAAAAGCTGAAAACAGCTATGTTGGATATTAAAGTTGCAGTCTAAGAGGTAACACAAGTTTAATCATAAACAAAGTACTGTTTGCACCTTGAAATGTTTTACTTCACAGAATAATGTCATTCAATTATCCAGTTAAAATAAAAAAAACGGTGATAGTTCTCATTTAGCCCTGATATTCAACAAGCAAATGCTAAACGTGTCATTATGCCTTGTTGCCTTGTTGGCAATAATTGGTTTAAAATGCATTTGCAATGGTTGTATTTATTTTTAAACAGGTAGAAGAAAGCATCAGGCTGATGTTGAAATTTGTAGGAGCTGTTCTCATAAATGTACTCAAGCTCATTAGCTTGTGAAATCGGGCCCATTAGGTCCACATCAATTGCCTCTCTGCTCTACTAAACTCATTAAATTATTTTAAATTAAATTTCTTTCATAAATTTTTTAAAACGAAAAACTTTAAAACTGACCATTCTCTCTGCAAGTTTTGCTTTTCCTCATCTATTATGCTTGTTTTGTCCTAATATAGACTCAGGAACATTATGCCTGTTGGTTAATTTCTACACTGATACATTTTTAATGCCATTAATGAGATATTTGTCTTTGCTACGTTCGCCCAGCCAGTAAGATATGAAGGCTAAGTCTCTGTGGTGCCTGCCTGAGCTCTGAGGAGGTGCGTGTTGGAAGAAGAGGGGGGTGTAATGTGGCGTTGGTCATTATGCATCCTGACAGCTTCCTGTTGCAGCCTAGATACAGAATGCTCTGCCCACCCTGCCCATTTTAGCTCTCTAATCCCATCCAAAGAGAAGGTTGACAGACAATGCTAAACAAGCTTAGTGGACAAACTGCTGCAGATTAATTATCGATAACTAATATAAATCAAAAAGGCTGATAATAACAAATCAGGACAGATTTGTGGATAAGACTGAGTGGGTGGGCAAAGACAAGGGCAGACAGGGAGGGACGACCTCATTATCAGAGTAAATAAGCGAAAAAAGTATGGACTGAATTGTATTCATGAAGTATTCTTCATGTTCAAGTTTGAAAAGATTAAAAAGGTGTGGTGTGTTGTTTTCATCACATATACTGTATTTCAAAGCACTGTAAATTCAGCTACTGACATTATTTTTGGTACACATTTATTTTTATATTTTCTGTATTTTTAAATTAAATGACTGATAAATGGATGAAAATGTAACATAGTCCCTCAAGATCAACTTAGCATTTTCCACTTTTTTAATTAAAATAATTGGTTTTTCTGACTTGCTCTGGGCTCTGAGAATTGCTGCCCTTAAATAGGATTATTTGTATATTTAAATTAAATGGCTGAACTCGTAACTGCAGGTCAGAGCTGAGTCAGGGGGATTGAGATGTGCTCAAACGAAACGCATGTCTCTGCATGCCTTTGGTTGGTTTGACTCGCTGATTTTCTTCATCACTTGTATGATTTCTCTAATGAGGGAGATATCAAAAGGAAATTCTTAGCTCCATCTTGTCCAGTTTTAATGATACACTGGCTTTAACAAACATATCAGATCTTAGAATGAATGCATTTCACTTATAAAGGGTTTTTTATTGTTTTACCAACCAAACATCAAATGCACAAATCTAATCTTGTTAGCATGCTTTAATTTAAGATCTATTGTGGAAAGAAGAAAACTAAAAATAAAAAAATGAGTTTGTCAGTCAGTTAAAACAATAACTAACTGCAGTCATATCTAAAATGATAGTTCAGAACTTTTGAAGTAGGGTTTTAACAAATATTATCTAACCTTTTGTAGATAGCTCTTTGAATGACCTCAGTTTAGAGAAATAAATAGAGTGCACTGACGAGCTAGTGGCTAACACAAGAGAGAATAAGACTAAAGTAGATTGTTACCTTTAATAAAACAACTCCAATCTCCAAAAAGTTATCCTTTTCATGGGAACAATCTTTGTTTTACATTTAATTCAATTCATTTTTAATCTTCTATTAAAGATGGATAATATGCAGTTCTAGCTCTACGACGGGCTTTCTTATTTATTAGCAGGCTGTCTCTCCAGGTTAAATAAACTTATATGTTAGTGGAGCACCATTTTCTTTCCAGTTTTCTAGATTCCTATTTTAAAGAACGTAACTTTGCATTAGAGATTGTGAGGATGTATGATTAAGTTCTTACTCTCTATGCCATGGGCTAATTTTGACAACTTCACATTGCATGAATATTTACAGAAAATACTTTTTTTATTTCTTAACACAAATAGTAACACCAGCCTGGGCACTTTCTACAGGAAAATTGTGATATTGTAGTCAGAATAACAGTGTAATAGGGCTTTCACAACAAAACGGGTTTGCAGCGAGCTTGTTGCTGAACCCAGCTGTTCCACAGCCGATTGTTAGGAAGTTCAGCACCAAATAAGCAAAGTTTTCAAAACTACGTGCAGAGAACACTTTTAAGGAGGGAGGACTTCTGCAGTGTCCCTTGAGAGAAGTAAGAAAAAAGCAGAAGCATGATGTGTGCGACAGGCAGGGGGGTGTGGGGGGGGGAGTGCACATGAGACTGTATGATCCAGATAACATTATGGTGAAGGAGCTCCATTTCTACAGTGACCTGCTTCTTTTGGCCATTACAGTCTTTGTTTCCAGCTCAGCACTGACCAGTTAAATGTGTCTATTGGCTGAGCAAGAGTATTTCACAGCACTCCATGGTCAAATTTACATTTGGTTGAACTTTGACTGTGTAGCTCTGTGCAAAGCTTTATGCTGTGCTTCTTTGCACCTTGCAAATAAATGGGTTTCAAAGTGCTTAATCTGGTCTGAAGAGCCATACATGCAAAACTGATGCATAAACCGTAATGAAGTTTAGTTGGGGAAGTTCATGCATGTCAAACCCTTCAGGCGTTTACCTGTACCATGACCCTGAAAAATCTGTAATTTTCTGCAAAAATCCATATTACTCATATGCTGGGGGGTATGTGGACGTGAGCCAGAACGTGAGGTGAAGATAACAGCACCTGCAGTGCTAAAGAGCAGGGAGAGGTGGGGAACTTATTTCTGAGTCAGAGCAGGTTGGGAGATGGTTATTTAATTTATTTATTTTTTTATTTTTTTACATCCTACAGGCTTTGAGATGCAAAATAAATTTAAAGCTGAACTTTTGAAAACACCCATGAGATTTGAAAAAACCTGTGAGATTGCCTTATATGCCCATGTAATTTACAGACAATCCATATACAGCGCATGTTTCAGCCTTTTTGGTCTTGGTCCCACTCAGACGTTAGCTCATCAGTTCGATCAGAATGTAACTCTGTTTCTCCAAACCAAATGACATAACAAATATTCCCACATTAGCCCAATTAAAAAGAGCTGAACTATCCCTTTAAGTTAAGAGCTGAAGTTTTTAATGTTTCACTTTGGGAATAAATACAGCACAAACCCAAGAATGAGTAAATCAGTGTGGTTGGAAGTCGTGTTATTGTACCAAATGTTTTAGGACAGAGGAAATGGACTAGTGTTGTCAGTAGAAAGAGAGTCTGTTGCCTGCAGGTTTTCGGCTGAGACGCACACAGATATTTTTCACTTTGCAGGTTTAAAGCAATGGCCAAGCTCTCAAAAGACATAAATTGGTTAAAAGAAATCAAAAATTGGGCTATCACACATGACTCACTTGTCCAATTCACGCTCCTCTCAGACTGATTTCACCACTCACACAGCATGTGTCCAGTCCCGCTGGGTGTCTAAAACATGTTAGAACCAAGGAATGGGTAGGAATACCCGCTGAGCTTTAAGCGCCAGAAGACCGAGATGATGAAAACTTTAACAAGCTTAAACAGACGTACACTGATCTGATGGAGCGCTCTTACAAGCTGCAGTGATTTTGAGCCTGGCTGGTTTGTGGTCTTTTTTTTTTTTTTTTTTTTTTTTTTTAGTTTTCCCTCGGGCACTCAGACAGAAGTTTCTACAAGCAGAGCACAATGGAACCTACAAGAAAAGACAGATGAGATTAAAATATTTTAAAATGAGAGGTTCATCCAAATGATGGTCAGTATTGCTGGCATCTAGCTTCTCTGTCCCACAGCCAGCCCATCTGAGCAAACATGATAATCTGATGCAGTTTATTTGTCTAATCCACAACAGATATGAGCTCAATCACCCAGGACCTCAAAGCTGCACCTATGACAAGCAAAGGCCGGTGATTACTTCCCCTTAAAACACAAAGGAAAGCAAAACTTAACCTGAATGACTACATTTTCAGAGCAGTATGAATACATTCACATCTTTATGGTCTCAGGTGCTGAAACATGCTAAATATTACCAATCCACCGTGTTTCTCATTAACATCATAAAATTAAAACTCAGATATTTTTTTTGAGATGGAACGTTTTAATG